GGGGATGTACATCTCAGAGTCGAGAGGGAGGTACATATAGGGACCGATGTACCATATCACCCGACCGAGGGATACGTGTCGGTACGTAAACGTACTAGATGCCATTGATCCCTACGACCAGTACCTCGGGAGAGAGGGACTTGTGAAGCGATGGGTACGTGTCGTGATCACAGTAACAAGAATTTAGTGACACCGAGAACACGTGTCGTCATCTTGGATCGTCATCTTGGAGTACTTTGGAAATGTACGATCAATTTCATACAAATAAATCAAGTACATAATATAAATTAATTAGTCCTAATGTATCAAGACTCTCAATCTTCCAAAACATATGTGTTTCTTTCCATCTAGAGTGTAACGGAATAAGCTGAGCTCCTCTTTTGAGAGTAGCGCTCTCTCTCTCTCTCTCTCTCAATTCAATTTGCAAGTGTCATTAACATTGGCAGCTTCTCAATATCGGTGTTTTTCTCTTCTCTTTGTGTCTCCACAGGTTCCTTGACTGTTTCTAAATTCAATTAATAGATGTCATTAAAAATAAAAGGCATCAAGAATAAAAAAAGTAATTTTGAGTAAGACTTTCTTCTAGAATCATGATTGCTTTGAGATTTTACAGGTCACTGATAAAGCTGAAATCGTATAATTCCTTACACTACACCTTAATCTCGAATTACTATTGGTAAAAGGCATTCATCTTATCGATGCCGTATCAGCGGTAATGTACAACGAAGTAAGTAGTTGAACCATTTTTTTTCCCAACTCATATAATTATGTGTTAATTTATTTTCTTTATAAAATGGAGGAAAAAGAGAGAACAAGTAGGCACTGAGAGACATAGGGCTTGTATTACAACGAAGTCACGTCATGGAGTGTTTGAAGCACATATGCACATAATGGTGCACATGTCAGGCCAAATGACATTGATCCTAGCAAGAACATAGATCTATGTAGCTGGTTCTCTATGTGTCACGGTCTCCAACTCTTGATTCTACACTTCGCTATTTGTCATAAGAGTTTAATGGAGGTTTTTGACGGTGTAAATGGATGTGGCTGCTCCTAGAACTTCACTCCTCAATCCTTAACCAACATGATAGTTTGCTGCGTTCTGTTTTTTTTTTTATTAGCAAGAAAACAGTTTAGCATTTCTTCATTTAGTAATAACTCGAGGTTTTTTTTTCAAGACTTAGGCATAGTGGTCCGGTTGTATGTGTTTGTAGATCATTTCTGTGGAATGATCCCATTGCTGGCAAATAGAATAATAAGGTTGGGTTTCTTATTTACCAACAGATAGCTAGAGGTTGCTTTTTGTTTAACCGAAACAGTTACTATGTTCGCATACAGTCGGTGTTCAACATTTTTCTGATTTGTTGTGCTTGATTTAGTTGTTTAAGTTTTTATATACTATATGCATAGGCGGCGGGCTCTAGGGGTCAGCCACGTGCCTCCCTCAATTTTTTTTTATTAGTTAAATATATATATTATATATTTATACATATATTTTATGTATGTCCCTCATTTATATTAGGTCTACATTATTTATTCAAAATAATTAAAAAATTAAGTCTATTTAAAACAAAAAAAATTGAACTCACTATTATCTATCCAAACTTATTAAAAAATCAAATATTTGACCTATCACAATCCACTCAAACCTATTAAAAAAATAAAACTTTTAGCCCAACATTAAAAACAAAAATTTTGGCCAAACATCATTAAAAAATAAAACTTTTGACCCATTTGACTAAAATTTATCTTATTTTATTTTTTCTCTCTATATCACTTACTCCCAATTGCCCACTCCTCGGTCACAAGAAAAAGAGAAGAAACAAAGAAAAACTTAACACACGAGAAACTCAGTTCCTTGAGTTTTTTTGTCCTTCATTGCACCAACCTATAAAATTATTTTATACTTTATATTTACCCCTAAATTTTTGAAAATTTTAATAATGGTTCTAGTCTTTTTTTTTAAAATAAATTAGTGGACCACTAACCCTCAAAAATAAAAATGTTAGTTTTGGATTGAGTCAATGTTTTATTTGTATATTGACGAAAATGCAATATTTCTCTTTACCTAACACAATGTTCGTTACTTTTTAAGAATAATTTTTAATTTTTATTTACCATTTTTTTAGTAATAGTAGTCTATAACCTAATATAATACGAAAATTAATTTACATTTAATTTATATACAAAATTATAGAGATTTTAAAAAATTTTATATTTTATTGAAATTTATAATTTGGTTAAAATCTACTAAAAAAATTTTTTGTGTCTTTTTATTAAGATTTTGTTTCGGTTAAATAAAAATTGAATTTACTATTTCACAATAATTTAGTGTTGATTCTTACTTTTTTTTTTAATTCTTGAACTGAATTTTTTTGTATTAATTTCGGCTTAAAATGTTTTTATACCAGTTATTTTTTGCCTCTATCATAGATATTCATGGCTCCGCCCCTGACAATATACTTTTTTTTTTAGAATTTTTTATGTTAAATGGACTTCATATATTAAATATAATATAATAAATATAAATATGTTATATAGTGTGATTGGTTAGAAGGAAAAAAATTAAAGGGCATAATTAAAGTCCCCATCGTGAACAAAATTCCTAACTCCGCCCCAGACTATACTACTTTAATTTATATTGCTATAACTTGAACTTCAGGGGTTACCCACTGATTAACTATCCTCATGTGTTCCCCGGGTACCATAAGTATTTGACAAAGAAGCACTTCAAAAACAATAACGTGAGGAATCGGCTTCGCCTAATTGCTTCCAACGAAGATAGTAATGTTTATGAGCTGCACTACTTCAATATTGCCAAGAATGAGGGGGAGAGACAAAGACTGAAGATCAAGTTCAGAATTTGTCTCGCATTACTTGGTTTTGGCATTCATTCTATGAACCTTTGTTTTCCTGTTCAACTTTAGGAATTTTCAATCAAGTTGTTCCCCATTTGTTTTCTATTTTAATTTTTGTAAATGATATTTATATATATCTTCAAATTGTTCACGTGCAATTCACGTGTGCGCCAACTAGTTATTTATAAATGTCGGTATCTATGAAAAACATTTAATTTTTTAATTTTTCCCTAATTATTACTAGAAAGTCAATTATTTACCCCAAAATATCCTAATTAATACCATCATTTTTTTAACATGTCCTATTAGCCTACAAATTTCATTTAAATCAAAACTCTTCATATCATATAACATTAGTCTCTAACCATTCATTATTCTTATAGAGGTAGATCTTTCATTACAATTGTATCTATGAAAATTTTAATCACTATATAATACATGTGCATAAATAACATGATTTAGAATTTTATTAACATATATTTGTCGGATTGGATTCTAATTATTATTTAATTTAATTATAAATATACTTTAATTTTTATTAAAAAAATAGTTTTTAATTATATTCACGTGCAATGCAAGTTGTACATTGCTAGTATAAAAAAAATACAAAAAATAACACACAAAAAGATACGTAATTCGACACACTGTGCATGCCTATGATCATGAACTGAAAAGCTATGTTGATGTATTATTAACTAGCCATCTATTGGGTAAGAGAAATGCCATTTGGAATTTGATTTAATTTGCTGATCTAATGATGTGGTTTCAATAGAACCATTAGATTAACACCAAGTTTTAATGTTTGATGGAGCTCACGGTCAATTCAACGATCCTACTGAATTAGGTCTAATAGCATTATTCATTTGGTAATAGATTATATTGGTATTCAACCCTATCTATGGGATAAAATGTTGTCGTCCAAAATAGTTGGCATGTTACGAATTATCTATGTTTTTTATGAGATTCCTAATAAACCTATCCACAATATATTAGGATCCTTTCAATTCTTTTACTATATAATTTGGGGTTCTCACATCTGATTGCCGAACAAATTAACTCCATTCATGTGCGAACAACAGTCCCAATTGATTCTAATCTACTACTCTCCTCAAGCATTGCATATGAACAACAGTCCCAATTATCTATGTTTTTTTGAAATTTTCATATTTTCAACTATTTATTCTTTTATTTTTCTATCATATCAAACGGAATATATGAATAATATAGAATTGACATAAATAAATGGTACCACTAATAGCTATTTTGGGCACCACTAATAGTATCCAATCCGATATGAATCTGATTTCAACAGAAATCATTTATATCAAGTATTATCAATACTTTATTTTTTATATAGGAACTTGAGTACAACTCGATTTGAAATTACAATTCAAACTTTATTCCAAGGTTATAAATTAGGTTAAAATTATTGTCTAACCCAAGTTCACAAATTTTGGTTACAACCTAAAAATCCTATTCCAAACTCGAATTTAAATTGGATTACTATTTTTTTTCCAGATTGAACTAGAGTATTGAAAGTTTTTGGTTAATCTGAACTGTCTAAGTTGCACCCTTAAGTGGACAATTGAAGTTTATTCAACAGACAATAGTAAAAATAGTAGCAAATTCGGATACTCTACATTTTAAGTTCTAGTAAAATTCACTTAAGGGCTAATAATATTTTTGATCCTTAAAATATATAATTTTTGTCAATTTAATACTTATCGTATTAATTTTATCAATTTGGTATATATAGTATTCAATCCATGTCATTTTGGTTTCTAATAATACAATTCATTAAGTTTTTTGGTAGAAGTAACCATATATAATTTTTTTTAGATGGTATTATACACCCAACGCGTAATCATTCTGTCAAAAACCTAACGGTCTTTCTATGTAAGAATAAAAATGACATAAATTGAATATTTTATGAATTAAATTGACAAAATTGATATAATAATAACTAAATTAACAAAAAAATATATTTTAATAAAACAATCAATAAAATTATTGCTATTAACCCTTTAATCAATCAATCAGTAAAATTATTGGGTCCCACTAGGTGTGGCTGTGTAGATTTCAACGGTCCTTCATCGTTCAATTCTCTTAATGGATGTGAAAGAGGTGGGATGAGCCTCAACCACATACAATTCCGAATTATTTCTTTAAAGATTGAATGTTCTCAACTTTCAATAATTGCTAACACCCTGAGCAATGGCTTCATCCTCTTCTAGGCTTTCACCAGTAAACTCCTACGCATATGCTTTCCTTATACTTATAACTTCCACCAAAAATGCTACCGGATGCTACACATCCCTCTTCGGCTTCGGTGATTCACTCACTGACACCGGAAACCTAGTTAAAATCGACCCACCCGACCATCCTCCCCACGAGGCCTTTCCACCCTATGGAGAAACCTTCTTCCATGTTCCCACTGGCCGTAGCTCCGACGGTCGTCTCATTATTGATTTTATTGGTACGTAACCGTGTATCGTAGTTTTAAAAATAAAACGTTATATCATCTCACTACGTATTGTAATTCTTAACTTTTGCAATTTCAATGCAAATGTTAAATTCTATTCTATATAGCAATCAGACGGTTGATAATGTGATGCCATAATGTTAGATTTTATTTCGAATAAATTGTAGGATCTCAATGGCTCAAGAAATATGTTGCCTAAGTTACCTTCAATTTTAGGATTTTTTTCGTTTTTAATCTTCCATTGGACTAATGGGTGAATATGCAAAAATCTATATTTATATTTACTTATAAATTTCAGTATCTACGAGAAATTTTTTATTTTCTATTTTATTCGTAATTATTATAATAAAGTCAATTATACCCGCTTACATACCTTCAACTAATTTTTCTATTTTATCCCTAATTCTATACATGTTAAATAATCATACACATGTAGTTATTGAATTTCACGGTCAAACATATATTATATTTTATTTTTTGATATACAACAATATAATAATATTATAGTAATCTAATCAATCTATTTAACAAAATAAGAAGAGATTCCTAAATAAAGGACATAATAAGTTCTCAAAACCTTTAGAACAAAGTAATAAATTTAGCAATAATTAAAATACGGATTAATTATTCATTGCCTAATTTATTATTTAATTTTATTACAGATACAATTCACGTTTATAAAAAATATTATTTAAATTTATTTACGTGTAACACACATCGTGCATTGATAGTATTACAAATGGAGAAAAGTTTGTGCTTATTTGATTTTGAACCTAAAATATGCACATATCTAATTTTTAGAGCAAAAAAGTGAGTGAAAAATAAAAATTCACAATTTTGGTTTCCATTCTCCTTACGTATATCCTGGTATACCCGTGTGTAATATACCGTTAAGAGTTGCATCGCCCGTTAACATTTTCAAAACCACGGTGTTATACACAAAAATAAATAGAAGCACGTGGTGTTATACACAAAAATATCATTGGTTATTTTGCAGCTGAATATTATGGACTTCCACTGGTACCACCATACGTTGAATGGAAGAATGAAAAAAGAGCAAATTTTCGTCAGGGTGTGAATTTTGCAGTTATAGGTGCTCCTGCACTGGATATAGCATTCTATGAAGAAAGAGGAATCCACAATCCTGTCACAAATGAATCTCTCAAAGTTCAGTTGGTTTGGTTCAAAGAAATATTGCCATCTCTCTGCCATTCATCCTCAAGTAAGTCAAAGTTAAGGACCCACAATATTTGGATTATTTAAGTACATCATGACAGTTACTGTGTTAGTGCCAGTGTTACATGCAAAATATTTTGTAGCATTCTCTAAATACAAGCAATTTCGGACCCATGATATTGGACTATGGCGTGTTTGGTAGGGATGATAAAAATATAGTAGGATGAAAAAAATGAGTGATATTTTTTATGAATCCTTATTTTACTCTTTTTTGTGTTTGATAAGGATGGAAAATGAAAAGATGAAAAAAGTATAGATACATATTTTACCATTATATATATGTATCAAATTAATGTATGCATAATATGTAATCTATATAATAAAATAGTTTACAATTTAAATTTCAAAAGAAAAACAAGATGATTTTTACTATCCGCAGTTGAGATCGTTTTAAATTTTACTTTAAAGTTAATCTAACGGCTAATATTAATATCCTAAATTTAATAGAAAAAATAGGTCCCCTAAGTGTGTTTGAAGTGACTTTTTAAAAATACTTTTAAAAATTATTTCTCATAAATACTTTTAAAAAAATATTGTTTGAAGCCGTCACACTACTACCTCTACCACCACCACGATCATTGTCACTCACCATAACCATCACCGTCTCCTACCACTATTACTGCCACCCACCATCTTTCATCTCCACTACAAACTGATGCTTAAATTTCTTTATCTATTCCCTATGTTTGTGATTTGATTTTGGATACGAATACAAATATATTTATTATTTACTATTTTTTATTACTAGATTTTATGAAGTCTGAGCTAAATATAACTGATCAGCTAACTAAAGGGCTTTCGAGGAAAGTAATCTCAAAATTGTCGAGGAGGATGAGTTTAAGCCCGTAAGAGAGTCACCTAAGAAGGTAACCCAACTTCTGTGATTGGGGACCCCATGAAGAAAGTTCAATGGGTAGAAAAAATTCATACTACGTGACTCATTAGCACTGTTATTTAGGAAATATCCAAGAGGAGATATTTTTCGTACTCATCCCTATGGCAAAAGTGCATACGTAGTGTGACGGTAAGGGAGGGTTTTACCCTGAATTAGATCGAGGCAAGAACACTCCTGCAGGGTATTGTGCACATGTACATTTGGAGAGCCGTTGTGAGACCGCGACTATGAGAAATGGGCTGTGCTCTAAAAACTCTCATGAGAATCAAGATTAAGTGTATAACCATTAATAGCACTAACTCGCGAATTCTAACGAACATCGGTTCTGTGTGTGCGACATGTTGAACTCTTCTGGTCCAAAGGGTCTAGTTCAAACTTTTGGTCACTATGATCCTTCAGAGGAAAACTGTCAGTAGTAAGTGAGGTTCAAGAATGGAAGATACCTACACCTATTGCACAATATTAAAGTTGCCCTATTTTCTATGTATATATACATTCATAAATATTTTGAAATATTTCAAAGTTTCAAAAACTTGCGGGGATTGTAACAATAAAATTAAGTTTTTTTTTAAATTTTCTGTTAATTAAAGATTTATTTTCATCAAGTTTTTTGAAATTTTCAATTATTTTGGATGATTAATTTTTAGTAATTACAGATTTTATTTCATATGTTATACAACTTTAGTGGCAATTCAAATGACACATTTAAGACATAACGGTAGTATTTTAAATGCCTTTTAAGTTCGCTAGTAAAATAACGGTAGTATTTTAAATGCCTTTAGACCTAGAATTTACTAATGAATTATTTTTGTGCGTTATAAATTATTCGGTGGAGCTATTCTAGACTACTTCACACAGAAAAATTCTTGAGTTTCCTAAGCCTTTCCTAGAAAGTTTTCCTAGCTCCATAGCCTAGTTTTTGTCTCATCCAATTCAGTATTCACATTGACCAATTGTGCTTTATATATTTGTACAACTACAAGAATATTATATTTTCTTGTGTTTTGAGCAACTCGATTAGTGTCAAGTTCACTATTTCCTTCTCGTGGACATAATCATTGAGAAAGTGCTGCTACGAACGTCTGAGTTGTATCTTGAAGTTGCTAGTGTCCGTTAACATCCTCACCCGGGGAGACTCAGCTATTTTAGGACTGTAATTACGCGCCTCTCGGACTCGCAGATCAATTTATTCCANTTGTTTGAAGCCGTCACACTACTACCTCTACCACCACCACGATCATTGTCACTCACCATAACCATCACCGTCTCCTACCACTATTACTGCCACCCACCATCTTTCATCTCCACTACAAACTGATGCTTAAATTTCTTTATCTATTCCCTATGTTTGTGATTTGATTTTGGATACGAATACAAATATATTTATTATTTACTATTTTTTATTACTAGATTTTATGAAGTCTGAGCTAAATATAACTGATCAGCTAACTAAAGGGCTTTCGAGGAAAGTAATCTCAAAATTGTCGAGGAGGATGAGTTTAAGCCCGTAAGAGAGTCACCTAAGAAGGTAACCCAACTTCTGTGATTGGGGACCCCATGAAGAAAGTTCAATGGGTAGAAAAAATTCATACTACGTGACTCATTAGCACTGTTATTTAGGAAATATCCAAGAGGAGATATTTTTCGTACTCATCCCTATGGCAAAAGTGCATACGTAGTGTGACGGTAAGGGAGGGTTTTACCCTGAATTAGATCGAGGCAAGAACACTCCTGCAGGGTATTGTGCACATGTACATTTGGAGAGCCGTTGTGAGACCGCGACTATGAGAAATGGGCTGTGCTCTAAAAACTCTCATGAGAATCAAGATTAAGTGTATAACCATTAATAGCACTAACTCGCGAATTCTAACGAACATCGGTTCTGTGTGTGCGACATGTTGAACTCTTCTGGTCCAAAGGGTCTAGTTCAAACTTTTGGTCACTATGATCCTTCAGAGGAAAACTGTCAGTAGTAAGTGAGGTTCAAGAATGGAAGATACCTACACCTATTGCACAATATTAAAGTTGCCCTATTTTCTATGTATATATACATTCATAAATATTTTGAAATATTTCAAAGTTTCAAAAACTTGCGGGGATTGTAACAATAAAATTAAGTTTTTTTTTAAATTTTCTGTTAATTAAAGATTTATTTTCATCAAGTTTTTTGAAATTTTCAATTATTTTGGATGATTAATTTTTAGTAATTACAGATTTTATTTCATATGTTATACAACTTTAGTGGCAATTCAAATGACACATTTAAGACATAACGGTAGTATTTTAAATGCCTTTTAAGTTCGCTAGTAAAATAACGGTAGTATTTTAAATGCCTTTAGACCTAGAATTTACTAATGAATTATTTTTGTGCGTTATAAATTATTCGGTGGAGCTATTCTAGACTACTTCACACAGAAAAATTCTTGAGTTTCCTAAGCCTTTCCTAGAAAGTTTTCCTAGCTCCATAGCCTAGTTTTTGTCTCATCCAATTCAGTATTCACATTGACCAATTGTGCTTTATATATTTGTACAACTACAAGAATATTATATTTTCTTGTGTTTTGAGCAACTCGATTAGTGTCAAGTTCACTATTTCCTTCTCGTGGACATAATCATTGAGAAAGTGCTGCTACGAACGTCTGAGTTGTATCTTGAAGTTGCTAGTGTCCGTTAACATCCTCACCCGGGGAGACTCAGCTATTTTAGGACTGTAATTACGCGCCTCTCGGACTCGCAGATCAATTTATTCCAAATCAAATTATTTGATTTATATATATTACATGTTTATATATTTTCTGTATTTATTTAAATCGCATGTTATATTTTTAATGATATAACCACTGTTTGTATGCTTTATTTCTAATTTTAGATTACAACACTCATAGTTATTTTGTTCACATCATAATTCTAATAATTGTTACTTTGGCCAAAAGTTCAGTAACCATTTTTCTTAATTCCAATTATAAATCTATGCTTCAGATATATTTGTTTCTACAATTGCCCTTCGCCTATGTTGATGTTTATCGGCTTCAGAGAAGCGGCCTGCTCACTTTGAGAGGTAGCTTCTATGAGAATAGCTCGGGTAGCTTGTATTTTGTATCGGGGCTTGGGTAATGACGTAGAGAGTATCTTGTGTTTTGGCAAGCTGAGCTTGGGTATCCTCCATTAACCATGATTGTCCACATTCACACCTAGTTCCAAACCATTAAAGTTAGTAACAGTAATATTATTATACTTTCCAGTTTGATGGAATGGAAGATTTAGCTGAGTTCCTTGGGTCAAGGAGCGATGAAGAAGAATTTACTTGAACTATCAATTAAATTTAAAGGAACAACACCCTAGGAGTAGAAATATTACCAAATGATGATACCCTTTTGTCACTGGATGAACATGGTAGCTGTATGAGTTGTAAAATTTGACTACATGGAATATCTTGTGGAATCGGCATCATAAAGAAGAATTAGATATAGAATGGAAAGGTTGCCTCATGAAAATGTGCATGCATCGAAATATATATCTATCTAGATTTTGTCTCGCCCTACTTCGGGTAATTGCACATCTTGTCTAATTGAGGAGAGTGGACCACATTCATTAAATATAAACATGCTAATTTGTGCAAAAAAATACATAGTATAGATTCCAATCACCAACCCGGTGCAACGTTATATGAATATAAGCCATGCACAAAATCTATAAACTTAACTCTTATTATACATTCAAATGTACAACTTTGACTCTTATCAACTTAACATATATACATGACCTAATATCTGCAAAATGACACAATAAGACTCCCACTTCTTTCATTTTCTGCCAACCGTCTTAACTCAGCAGTGGACTTCTCATTATGTCTCGTTACCTGAAATAACAAAAATTATGGAAGGAGAAAGGACAACGCGCTCAGTGAATGTGTATCTTCATTAAATAGATATTAACAATAATATACCCCACATGCTTTAACCATATCAATACATAATAAACTTAACACCACCATAGGAACTATATCGAGTTTGCATCCCAACTCAAACCTCATACAATAGTATTAAATGAATAATCACTCACAAGCCATCATATACACACACTCACACACACACACACACACACACGTGTATCTTCGCCACTAACGTCTCTGCTCTTATACAAGCAGCCTCAGTCTTCAGATTAGCAGCTCTCTCATGAGTCACAAAAAGCTTGGCCTACTCTGCCTCTGCTCTCATGCAAGCAGCCTTAGTCTTAGTCTCTAGTTTAGCGGCTTTCTCGAGAGCCACCCTAAGCTCCTCCTCTACAGCCCACTATGTTTGCCTCTCCCTCATCCATTTAGAATGAAAGTTGTCCTTTCCCACGAATGGAATATGACACATGAAAATTGTACTTTGTCACTAATTTGTGATTCAAATTCAAATTCAGAGGAAAGTAAGAATTTTTTAGGAAAAATTCGATACCCAAACAGCCGTGGGCTGTTTGTTAGTAGATCTCAAAAAGATACCCCGGATTCAAAAACAGATTCGCCTCAAATAGGCAACCAAGCGCAAAATTATGGTCGTTCAAAATTTTGTGACTTTTTCATGTTTTTTTCATACTCCATCTACACCCAAGCCAACATCCAGGTGCCTAGTGCTAGCAGCCACAACCAACAGCTAGGCGCCCACCACCCTCCCAATAGCACACCCATTGTGCAAGCGTCCTTGCGCCCTCGTGCCAACACACACTGCTCACCTCATAATGTTTGTACCCTTGGCTCCCTGTCGCTAATACCTAGGCTCCCCAACACCCTCTACTCCTTACCTTCTGCACCTCTCTGCCCATCTCTCACATATACTCAGCCTACTAAAAAAGATATCCATGAATTTTTGTTGATGCCCTTTCTCCCAAGTTCCATTGAACTCTAGGAATGGGGGACAAATGACGGCTCCAACCCAGAGTAGGCCTAGATTAGAGATGCAGGCTAGACCCAGCTCAAATGAATAGGTCAAGCCAACCACAAGATCAAGGAAGCTCAGTCAAGTCAGTCCTGATATCTTGAGAGACTCTATCCACAACTGACACACGAGAGAATCTCTATGGGATGCAGTCATCAGGTGCACGTCGACACCTCCATGCAACTGCCTTGCCTGTAATGAGAATGGTGCCACCTATACCAAACTACCTCACCGGTTTCAATAATAGCTCCTCAATCTATTATGAGACGCTTATGTAAACCCCACCTACATAAGGGGGCATCACTCACATCTGAGCAGTCTACACTCCTTGAGCAATAAAACACTTTGGCCACCATAGCCCTTCTTAGTAGAGTAAGTCATCTTGACCGAACCATTTAATTTGTGTTTGATTGTGTTGACTCTCCTTCTTAATTATTGTGTTAAATACTTGACATGTGGTGCATAAACACATGTTGTGCATCATCAGTTTGACACCGTCTGTGAAAACTTCTTAGTTTTTACCCAACTATTTTTATGTTTTTATGGCTATTACGACTAGATCCATAAATCAACAAATAAAGGATGATCAACAACACCAGGAGGAGGTCCTACCTCTGCCAGCAAATCCCGTCTCTCAAGCAAAACAAAAGTAGTTAGAGACTATGTAGTAGTTAGTGATTCAAAAATAATAGATCCTACAGTTGATGGGCACCCTCAAGGAGTCGTGCCCTAGCAATTAGGAGGGGAAGCACTCCAGGCACCTCGCCTAGGGCACCCCCTAACACCAAGGCACCCTCCTCAGCGCTAGGGCACACCAGCTCCAACTCCTCGCATGCTGGGTCCATCCTCCCATGCTAGTGATCCTCTTTTCCAAGGAGACGAGGGGAAATACTAGTATGTGAACAATGAGAGCCCCTACAATGACCATTCATAAAGCGTCCCCAACCACTAAGACGAAAAAATCAAAGAATTGCAGAACCAACTCAGCTGCGTCTTCAACGCCATGAAGGTACAAAGGGCCTGAAATGGTCGAGTATCTTGTGAGGCGTACTAACACGCCCTTTGTAGCTGATGTGGCCAACTATCCTTTCCCCCCAAGGTTCAAGATGCCAGCCATGGCATCTTTTTATGGCTCCAAAGATCCATTGGACCACCTTGACACCTACAAAACCCTAATGTAGATATATAATATACCAGATGAGATCATGTGTTGGGCTTTCCTTACCACTCTCAAGGGATTTGCTCTCTAGTGGTTCGTCTAGCTGACCCGGCTTCCATAGACACTTTTGTTGAACTAAGCAAGTCCTTTGACTCACACGTCATTGGGGGAAGTCGACACCAGAAACCTACCACCCACCTGCTCAACATCAAGTAGGACTTGGAAGAAAGCCTAATGAGTTACCTCACTTGTTTTTACGAGGAAGTCCTCCAGATTGATGAACTAGATGAAAAAATAGCCTTGGCGGCCTTCATAGAAGGCCTGCGCTCATCCAGTCTTATTTTTTCAGGTTTTAAGAACCAGCCAAAGAACATGGTGGAATTATTATCAAAAGTTCAAAACTACACGAATGTTGAGGATGTTGCCGAAGCCAGGTGAGTTGAGTCCTCACATGGAGGGGAATACAAAAAGTAGAACCATTTCTAACAATTTCAGCATTAGTATTGATGGTCAACAACTATTACTTGTGTTGATGTGGATACTTAGTAACATGGTTTCTGTTATCGCCCCTTCGCGCTCCCTGCGCAAGCGTCCTAGCTTTTATGCTTCCCATTTGCTTGAATTTTTAATATAATCCACCACATTATTCAAAAAATATTCCACGTGGCCACCCATTGTTCCCCAGCTTTTTCACCATTTTTTTAAAAAGTATTCCAGTAAGATGATTGCATTTTATTGACATAAAGTCTTGAAAATGATGGGTCCTCCATTACTACCAAATTCTCCACCCAAACCAAGACCACTCCCGTGCACCATCATTGCTGTGCATGCTCGCCTTCGAGCCATCTATTCCTGGCGCTCACGTGCCTCCTATCAGCACCCTCTATCCCATGACACTGGTGCCCCCGAAGAAATTGCGCCTCATCCTAGGTGTTCGGCACTCAACTCACCTCAAGCACCCTCGCCTCAAGTGCCTATCTTGCTCACCCTGGCGCCTACCTCCTTGCTTCAAGCGCCCTCACTCTGGCACCCTCACCTCTAACATCTTCGCCCCTGGAGCTTGCCTTGCTTGTCTTGGCATCTTTCTCCTCCACTCCATCTCTTGGGAGTGAGCCACCTGAGTCACCAAGATCTCGACCAAACTATTCCTTTGTTCTCACGCAAGGAGCCTCACACTTTAGCTTAGCAGCTCTCTCGCGGGTCACCAAAAACTCGACCTAACTCTGTCTCTACTATCATGCAAGCAACCACAATCTACAACTTAGTGGCTCTATCATGCATTGCAAAAAGCTAGGCCTTCTTTGCCTCTGTTCTTGTGTAAGCAACCTCAGTCTTAGGCTCTAGTTTAGAGACTCTCTCGCAATTCGCCAAAAGCTCGGCCTTAAGAGAGCCATCCTCAGCTCCTCCTTTATAGCCCCACTGTGTCTGCCACTCCCTCTTCATGGTACCTTGAGAACTATGATTTCTTCCATTTAGAATGAAGGTTGTCCATTTGCACGAATTGAACATGGAATATGAAAATTTTACTTCTTCAATAATTTGTGGTTAAAATTCAAATGCAATGGAAAAAAGGAATTTTTTTTTAGGTAAATTCGGTGCCTAGATTGCCATAGGTTGTTTGATTCTGGTAGATCTCAGAAAAATACCCGGATTCAAAAAAAAAATTACCTCAAATGGACAACCGACTGCAAACTTATGGTCGTTCAAAGTTTTGTCATTTATTCATGCTTTTCTCAAACTTCACCAGCGCCCAAGCTAGCATCCAGGTGGCTAGTGCTAGTAGCCGCAGCCAAAGCCAAATGCCCAGTGCTAGAAGCCAGGCACCAACAGCCCAAAGCCAACAACTAGGCACCTAGTGCCTAGTGCCAACAGTCGCACCCAATACCCTCGCGCCAGTGCGCCCTTCGCCATATGTCTGTTGTGCACGCGCCTTCGTGTCGGCACCCATGCCTCGCACACGTGCCAGTGCCTATGCCGGAGTGCCTTGCCTCATGATACCTACGCCCTCGGCTCCTTGCCATTAGCGCCTAGGTGCCCTAACGCCCTCTGCTCCTTACCTAATGCGCCCCCTCTCCTTTCTCCCTCATACGTGGCCTACTGAAAAAGATACCCATGAATTTTTACCGATACCCTCTCCCCCAAGTTCCATTGGACTCCAGACATGGGGGCAAACGATGTGTCAGGCCCAAATCAAAGATGCAGAATAGGCCCATCTCAAATATACAGGCCAAGCCTTCCACAAGATCAAGGAAGCTCAGTCAGGTCAACCTCGCCATCTTAAGAGACTAGTCCATAACTAACGCACGAGAAGATCTCTGTGGGACACATGCATTAGGTGCACGTCGCCACCTCCACGCAACTGCCTTATGAGAATGGTTCCACCTCTATTGAACTACCTCACCTGTTACGATAATAGCGTCTCAATCTGTTATGAGACGCCTATAAATTGTAAATCCCACCTATACAAAGGGGGCATCACTCACATCTGAGTACTCTATACTCATTGAGTAATAAAATACCAAAACCACCGTAGCTCTTCATAGTGGAGTTGGTCACCCTGATGGAACCACTTAATTTGTGTTTGCTTGTGTTGAATCTCCTCCTTAATTACTGCATTAAATATTTGACAGGTGGTGCATAAACAAATTTTTTGCGTCATCATTTTATATTAATGTTTTTATTGGAGTTCAAAGTAAATAAATTTCTGAAGGTTTTATTACTATCGATCAACTAACTCACTCGTGTAACCGAAAAACGAGTTTGAAATCGAGAAACTGGCCAGCCTTTTGCTATTATACTGGTTTTAATGATGATCATGTTGTTTTGAAAAAATGGGACTTGACACAAACACACACTCAATAAGAATTTTTTTATACTAAAAATATAGCCAAATACACGAGTCTCCCGACACTACGGCATTCGGGAAAAATACAAGGTTTTAGAATTTTTTGAGACTAACTATAGAAGGAATACTCAGCAGGTGCAACTAAAGAAACACATGTAGAATTAATATGAGGAATGGTGTATGGTCCATCTAATAAGCTTTTGGACATCAAGCTGTATGCTGCCTCTGTTAAGTGATAACCATCCCAGTCAACATATAAGGAAGGGTTATCACAATCAAGAAATGGTCTCTCACCACACATCAAAGATATGTTGAAATTGTAATGGCCTCCCGTTCCACAGCATGCTACTATAGCTCCTCTCGTGAATCCTGCAATAACATGTAATTAAGCCTCAAATACATCTGGCACTGCAAGAATTTTTCGAATAGCCGGTGTTTATTAACCGGCATAAACGTTGGAAAAGGTCAAAAATACACCGGCAAATCATCTTTCCAGAAAGAGATCAAGTGTCAATCCTTTCAAAATACAAAGGTTTGATATATATAAAGCGTTGGAGGTAACAGTACCATATTTTTGTGGGGAATGATAAAGTGGCATCGCAGCATTGTAATAATCAGCATAGATGATGGTGGCATGAGGATGAAGCTCTCGAATCTCATTGAGTTCTCTTTGTACTACTTCATTGTGATGTTCAGTAAACTTGTTAAGCCAAATAAGGCAACCCATTGAGTCATACTCTGTTTCATTTGATGTCTCAAAGTATGTTAGGTAGCCCGCTAACCAGCCCAATGGTATCATCCCAGGGACTACAAGTGTCACAGCCCCAAGATCAATTAGTTCCTGCATTGCAATGAAAAAGTTAATTTTACAAAATATACCCTGCTACATGCTTTAACTTCTTTTTTTCCATTTTAGATGAGAAATGCAGGTAAACTCCCTAAATCTAGATATAGGCATTCAATTTGCAAATAAATTATTTTACCCTCTAATATAAAAATTCTGTTACTCCACCCATTTCATAAAGTATTCGTCTTGGTTTAACAACAACTACCCAATATTTTTTAATTAAATAGGTTTAAGCTTTGCAACCTATTGAATGGAAAAAAAAAAAAAAGAGAGAAGATATAATGTAATAATATTTGCTAGAAAAAACAATTTGCACGTAATTTAAAATTTTAACAAAGGGTATACTTTGACCCACTCCACCCATTTCATATAGTATTCGTCTGTGTCTAATGCTTGGTCCTCTAATGCTCCGTCATGAATGCACTGAACTGCCATAAGTTCTGTCACACCGTAGAACTTATAGCAGTTCAGATGCTTGGCCCCTTCTTTAGTTTTTTGGTTTGTTTGCTAAACAGATAGGTTTCCTTATAAGTACATGTAATTTAGCAAAGATGAATATATTTTATTTTTCCAAAAAAAAAAAACTACGTTCGTGCTTCACATTGTCCTAAAAAGTATCATGTTTTTCATGTTGCACCTTCAAATTTGATTTTTTTGTTTTGTTTTATACTGCTCTGATTGGGATGTCCTTTGCAAATGGGATTTAAAGTTGTATCATTTTGCTCTTGAAACACTTGAATTTGTTTTACTCTTTCTAAATATCACATTATCATTGTGCGTTTAGAAACATAACCAATGTTTTGGAACAATGTTAAGTAAATTCAAGTTACTGGGAAGACAATTGTGGGAAACTCAATAATACAAAGAGCGAAATGAAACTCTTGAGTCATAGTTTAAGGATGTAAGCGATTGAAGGATATGAAACTTGAGTTATAGTTTAATTACCCAATACCAAAATATATATAAATTGAAATGGAAAATTCCATAAGCGATTTGAGCAACGGTTGAAGCTACAAAGCCACACCATGTTTTGTAACAAACAGCATTAGAAAAGTCCATTTACGCAATTCTTCAAACAGCAGGCTTAGATTCTTACGTTGATGGCTGAACCTATGGCTTTAGCTACAAGAGGTACAAATGATTGAATCTCATCCATGCTGGCATTTGAATAGAATGAATGGCCATAGTCATTCCCTCCAAATGGTCCCAAGAGAAATAGAGAGCTCTGAAGGAATTCACTGCAACCTGCCCATTATCATAACAGTATTAGGAAAGAAGTCGGTGCATTTAGTAATACTAACGTTGTGTTTGGTAGGTGTGAATGAAGCATGAGAAAAATGGCCATTACTTAGTAATGTTGATTCTAATATTTGGTATGTAATAATGAGAATTCATTCTCATTACCATGGAATGTCTAATCCTACTAGTATAGAATTTATAATTCCATAATATTTAGTGGTATTTTCATTTCTAACTAGCATCATTTGTCGCCACCATCACCACCACCGGCACCACCCCATCTCCACTAGGGGTCTGGCTCTAGGGTCCTATTCGGTGTTAAGGGCCCAAGGTCAAGTTAGGGTCTATGATTGGGTTCGAGATCGGGTCTAGGATCAAGATTTAGGTTGTGGGTCTAGAGTCGAGTTCAGGTCCAGGTCAAGTTGAGTCTAGGGTTGGTCGAGGTCAAGTTCAGGTCTAAGTCTCGAGCTTGATTAAGGTAAAGGGTTGGGGTTAGGGGTCACGTGCGGATCACGGATTTGGGTTGAGTTAGGGTACCAAATTGGGTCCATGTTCGGGTTCCAAGTCTTGGGTTAGGGGGTTAGATCCAAGGTCAGGTGTGGGTCTAGGTCTAGGGTCATGTCCAAGGGGTCGAAATCTCAGGTCGAGGTCGAGATTGGGGTTAGGTATGGGTCTAGGGTCAACTTGGATCTAGGGTTGGGGTGTCTAGGTCCAGTCTTCGGTCAGTAGTCAGTTCCAAGTTCGGGGTCAAGCCTAGGGTCAAGTCCTGGTCTAGGGTTGGGTCTACAAATTAAGAGGTTGGGCACTAAAAATAACTATTATTTTAATGTCATTAAGAATATTTTGATAAAATTTAATTTCATCAAAAAAATTACCCAAATATTTGAGTGAATTTCTAATAATTATCCAATCCATGTAATTTGATTAGCACCAAAATAAGAAAGATTTATTTTACATATTTAATTGTTTTTTATTAGATGATAATTCCACGTGATGATACTAATGTGATACCATTGTTACATTCAATGATGAAACTACATGGAGATCAAATTTGAAAATTACTCTACTCCCCTTTAATTAAGGTTAACTCCGAGAGAATTACCTCACTCAAGGTTAACCCTATCCCCTTTCCGGAGGTAATTCACATTTGGAGGGTGTCGCTCGCACTGACCTCTCAACACTTGCAACAATCAATCACGTAGGACTCACACAGTCGGTAGGGAGTCAAATCCACATCCAAAGGGTGGATATGGTTCGTCTAGTCAATGGAGGTCCATCCTAATAATCAAACTATGCTAACGTTCAAGAAGTTGGCCCTAAGAGATTGTCAAGTTTCGAACTTAATGATATATAGCTCATCGCTACATCAACTTGAGCTACCCTTTGGGGCTTTGAAGAATTCTATGTATCCTTGTACCTTATTTCAAAAACCTCCTTTTGCATAATGGACATTTAATTAGTGAATTCAAAAAGTTTAATATCATGACATTAAACATTTAATAACCAAACGAGTGATACTGATTGCATGGACAAGTGGGTTCTTATAGAAAAAAATACGCTTTTGGAACTAGTACTTGTGCTGGTACATAATTAAAAACTATTATATCATGTCATTGAATAAGGGAGTAAATAGTCCGTGAAATTGTTAGAAATTAAAGTAAGAACTATTTTTGTATTTATTAAATAAACTTTTTGTGATAGTATCATATAGTGATAGGGTCTTTATAATTAGACATATACTAATAGTAATTGTCAAACGACTTCGCCCGTGGTTACATTGTTTTTGCTTGACCATCCTCGTGATAAAATTATGATTTCGCCCGTGGTTACATTGAATATTTTCTGGCGTTTTAGAATCTTAGGCTTACTTGAGGATGAGTGGCAGAGAGATGGTAATATTTCTTTGAACCAACGCAGCTGAACTTTTAGAGAGTCATTTGTGATAGTATTGTAGATTCCTCTTTCTTCATAAAAGGCCAGATCCAGCGCTGGAGCTCCTACAACTGCAAAATTAACACCCTTATGGAAATTTGGTCTTTTTGCATTCTTCCCTTCAACATATGGTGGTACTAGTGGAAGTCCATAATATTCAGCTGCAAAAAACCAATGCATGAGCATGAACACCCCATAAAATTATTGGTGGTGAAAATCAGATCACAAAATTACCAACGTACATGCATTTATTTTTGAGTATAACACCATGGTTTTGAAAATGAAAATGGGTGTTGCAACTCTAACGGTATGCTGGACAAGGGGTGTAACAAGATATACACAAAAAAAATGGAAAATAGAAATGTAAATTTTTATTTTTCATTCACACTTTGCGCTAAAAAATTAGATATGTAGAAGAGAGTCTACATGTGTGTTGAAATTACAGAAGTTAAGAATTATAATACAAAGTTATGAACTGTAGCGTTCAATTTTTAAAACTACGATGCATGATACATGGTTAAGTACCTATAAAATCAATGATGAGACGACCGTCGGAGCATCGGCCAGTGGGAAAGTGGAAGAAGGTTGCTCCATAGGGCGGAAAAGCCATGTGGGGAGGATCATCCGCCGGGTAGATGTTCACTAGGTTTCCGGTGTCAGTGAGTGAATCACCGAAGCCAAAGAGGGATGTGTAGCATCCGGTAGCATTTTTGGTGGAAGTTAAAAGTATAAGGAAAGCGTATGCATTGGAGTTTACCAGTGAAAACCTAGAAGAGGATGAAGCCATTGCTAAAGGTATGAGCAATTGACCGTTGAAAACATTCAAGCTATATATAAATAATTCGGAATATTGTGACAACATGGTGGTTGATGCTCATCCCACATCTTTCACGACCAAAAATTGAATGCAACGGTGATATCATATAACCATTGATAGTATGATATTACCAACCAATAATAAACTTTAAGTGAGCAAGGTGAACTCCACTTAAGCTCACAAATTAGTTATTAATTTCTATGGGATCCATTTACTTATTTGTTTTAATGAATTTTTTATCGTCTTTCACATGTTTTTGGTCAAGAGAATTGAAGGACTGTTGAAATCTACAATTAAAGCCACACCTAGTCGGACCCAATGATTGGTTGAATTTCACCAAAACTTCAAATTTAGAGTATCCAAATCCACCATTAAGTTAAGTTAAATGATTGGTTCAATTTCACCAAAACTTCAAATTTAGAGTATCCAAATCCACCATTAACTGCATTATTGTCTGCTGAATAAACATCAATTGTCCAATTTAGAGGTGCCACTTAGACAAGTCGAGTGAAGTGTGAAACTTCAAATACGTTGGCTGAAACTAGGAAAAAAATATTAATCCAATTTAGGTTGTGGCCAAAATTAGTGAAATTGGTGGTTTGGTGGGCTTTGCCTTAATAGATTTGTAAAGTTATCGACCATTAAGCCCCTCTCAGAAGCAAACGCAGGGTGAGACACATAGAAGATGCAGCTCTAAACACAAGGTCTTCAAAGACATTGTGGGGACTCATAAGAGCTGTGTGCACACAAGGCTAGAGGGGAGTAGATGATCAAAACCGAGGAGGGATGTCGTTTGCACATAAAAGGAGTTTGTTGGGTAATCAGATATAAAAACTTCAAATCAAATAGCAAAATAATTGAAAGGGTCGTAATATATTGTAAATAGGTTTATTAAAGACATGATAAAAAACATAGAAATTTAGTAATATCCTAATTATTTTTTATGACGATATTTTATTCCCATAAATAGGGGTTCAATCCCAGTATAATCAGTTGTAAGATGGTCAAATAATAATACATCAATAATTATTTTTTAGTTCGTGATCGTCGGCATGCACAGTGTGCCAAACCACCTATTCTTTATATTTTATTTTCTTTATTATTTCTATATTATAATGATATCTCCCAAACAATTGTTATCAGAGCTATACTAAACAAATTAATTCCAATAATGTGGTATGCAAAATCAACAATAATTATAGGGTTAATAACAATTTTGTTCTCTAAAGTATGAATTTTTTATCAGTTTAGTCTTCATTGTATCAATTTTATCAATTTAGTAATTAAAATATTTAATTCATGTCATTTTTTGTCTCTACATAGACATATTGTTTTTATTGAATGATCATATGTTGGGCATGTGATACTGTTTAAAAAAATAACATGTGGTTATAAAAAACTTGATGAATTATCTGATTAGGGACCAAAGTGACACGAACTGAATGCTTTATGGCCTAAATTCATAAAACTGATACAGTGAGGACTAAATTGATGAAAAATATAAATTTTAGAGGTCAAAAATCCTATTAACCTAAAATATAATATTAACTTGAGTTTGTTAATATTTGATGGAATCCATTGCAATCCAAAGAATTCAATGAATTGGAAAAAGAAAATTAGGTTCAACTGCCATTACCAAGAAAATGACTAATAAAGGATCATCCTAGTAAGATTACAATGTCCTTATTCATTTGTTTTGGAAGTTGACAACGAATTTGGCAGATAATTTACTAAAGCAATCGCGAAAGCAGCATAGATAACGTCTTCACTGGAAATGAAATTGTCCAGAAGTCGTAGGTTATGTGAGAATGTGTCCACAAATCCTTGTTTTTATGTTCATCGTCGCTTGTTTTTTTGCTGTTTTTCTTTTGTTTGTGAGTGGAGGGTGATAAATAATCCAAAAAGATTTAATCAGCAAACCCTTATTGTGCGGGCTCGATCCTGCACGATATATAAAATATTGGGAACAGATCTCTCCCCTGGTGAACTCTGAGTGAGCCGGCTGAGTGGCCAAACACGCCGCTTGGAACAACCTGCGAGGTAAGATGGCAACCTGGAACGGCAAAGGAAGATCCTGGGAAAGGAAGAACGATCCTGTACGTGTGAAAGGTATTTCCTGGAACAAAGGAAAACAAGTTAGAAGGGCGCCGGAGTGTTTTCCGGCGTATCCCCTCCGACGGTCTAGTCAGTCTTTGAATGAGAGAGAGGAAGGAGAAAACACTGAGAAGGATATTTTGTAGTAGAGAATTTCTGATTGCCTCCTCGCTTTTCCTTTTGGGAGGAGTATTTATACCTTAGAAGCTCATGATTGCTGTCAGTGTGGTCAGTAGGTGATCATCAGGCAC